AAAGAGTGTTAAATAATGAAACAACCCCCATCATAAAAAATAAAAAAAAAAAACAAGGGGAAAACATCATGCTTTGATTCTTGAAACACAAATTATTCCTGACCAACTAAACAATCCAAATAACATGTATTAAAGTTGAAACTATTAATTTTTTACTTGCCCACTCCACTGTAGATCAACAATAACAAACAATTAATGGATATCTATTAATTCTAACGATTGTTGGAATATCTCCTGAATCCATTGCCATGATGAAATTGCAAACGAGCATCGAAGAAATAAATAGGACAAAACATCATCTGCCAAACAGAAAAGCAAAGGGGATAGAGGATCTCCTTGACCAGGCATGGCAACGGGGTGCGATGGGGTTGGACAAGTTTTATGTTCCCTGCCCTGACCCTCGTAGATTTATACTACCCTCACCCCGTCTCCAATTTTGTTAATCAGGAAAAATTTGAATCCAAACTTGAATTTAGTCAACACGGACAGGTTCGGATGGATACTCACGAACTGGGTTAGGATGTAATGCCTATCATTGACGAACCCCTTGTCTACATGTCAAAAAACCATACAACAAACTATGAATATTTAAAGATAACCTAGTTAATTCTAGAATTGTGCAAATCCAAACACAAATTTTCATGAAATTCAAATGCTTTTAACATTGGGATAAGAAAAATCCAATCCAAAGTATCAAAAGCTTTTCGAATGACCAATGTAATAGTCAAATTACCACTAAAAGAACACCGATCAAGCATATTTATGCCCTTGGAAGCAACGCAAACACAATCCAAAATTTGTCTTCCACAAATAAATCCCCTCTGTTTTGGAGATATAATTTTAGATGCAATGGTAGCAAGCCTATCTACAAGAACATTTGAGATTATTTAAAAGTAAAAATTAGCCATGACAATTGGCCAAAAATCCTGAATTTTATATGCACCAGATAACTTTGGAATGAGAGCCACCAAATTGGAATTCATACCTAAAAGAATTCAATTTTGAAGAAAGAACTGCAATGCAAAATGATAAACAATCAGACCAACAACATCCTAAAAAGCATGATAAAAACTATCATTAAACCCATTGGGACCAGGAGCCCCACATGGACTCATTGCCAAAGTAACACTTTGATTTCCTCTTGTGTAAAAGTAAGTTGATAAGCATAATATTTTCTTCGAGAGACACACAAGAGGGAATCATTGTCTCTACCAACTCACTAGGAACATATAAATCATCCAAATCATATAAGGAAGAGTAGTATTGAAGAAAATGATTTCAAATATCCTCTAGAGCATCAATAATTGAACCCCTCGCTCCAAGAGAAGTTAATGACCCACAAGAACAGGAAAAAATGTAGTATTACAATCACCCTTCAAAAAGTTCAAGCGAGATTTTTTCCTCCATAAAGATTCCTCAAAATTTAAAGCTTATTCTTACTCCAATTGAATCGCTAATATTTAGATTAAGAAGTAACAAAATAGGATGGAATTCTCTCTATTCTTTTATAACTTGCCCATAATATACAACATATAAAATATATATTATATTCCATGAATAATATATAAAGAATATAAGTTACTATACTTTCATCCAATTAAACACTGCTTATGTATGACAAATTATTGATTTTAAGAAAAGTAAGTACATAATTTTTTTTATTCAAATTGTGTAATAAAAAGTAGAGTTCCAAAATTAAAAATTAAAAATTGAAAGAGGACACAAGTGCATTTTGTTTTTCAAAAAGCTTCGTTATATGAAAATAGATGAGTAGATCAGGCATTTGTGTTTTACATTTTGATTCTTCAAATGAGAGCCATTGATCTTGTTTTTGTTGACACACAATGAAGATCTAAAGCTGCACTCGAGTGAGTGTGTCTTAAAAGTTAAACCGCGAGTGAGTCCTAAACAGATAAAGCTAAACACTGAAAATACACACAGGCGTGTGGTGCAGCGGGGGAAGATGAGCGTTTCACATTTCGCGGTTCTATCGTGTTGTCGTCCACGCTTCGCCCCTTCGCTGTACTGTGTACACACTCTCTCTCCTCATTTTGTTCTTCGCATTTAGGTCTTGTCGTTTTAATTACAGTTCCAATCACCAGGTCGTGTGCTTCAACCCTCCTTCGTTCCCGCATCCACTGTTGCTCCACTCTCTCCGCTACTTCCACAGAGGCTCCCACTCCAACCACCCTAAAGTAATACTAATAATCGCATTTTTTTTTTTTTGATTTTCGTCTAAATTTAAGAAGAATTTCGTGTCGTTTACTCAACTTGTTCCTTCGTCAGGAAACGAGTAGTATCGGGAGTTCAGCCCACGGGCTCAATTCACCTCGGAAACTATTTTGGCGCCATCAAGAATTGGGTTGCACTTCAGGTTTATTCATACTTTTCCCCCCTACATTTTTAATTGATTTTTTTTTTTTGGTGTTTTGGATTTCACAACTAATTTAATTGTCAGTGAGTGTGGTGGGATGCGAGTTAGACAAATGAGTGCAGTTTGCTTATATCTACGAGTTAGTTGGATTCAGCATGTGAAAAACAAGTTGATTGATTCGATTCACGAATTTGCTGTTCTTTTAAGACATTATATTGTTTTCGTTTTGCAGAATGTGTATGATACACTTTTCTTCATTGTGGACCTGCACGCGGTATGTCTGTATTCCTTCTATTACCTAGACTTATGAAGTGCCTAATGAGGCTTCTGTTTTTCTCTTTTTTATTGTTTGAGCTCATATAACTAATTATTTCGGTGTATGTTATCATGTGGAGAAGAAAGGATATTGATATTGTTGATTTTTCTTTTGCTTGCTGCTTCTGAAATCTGAATTCTGATCTGTAGTTACTTTAGTTTATTGTACCCTTTAGACATTTACTCTTACTGGAACCAATACGCAAAATAGGTCAATTAATTTGGAGCTTCTTGTTCTCTGCCCTATAAATTCACAGGTTTACTTATAACTGAGGATAAAGATCCAAATTTTAGGATAATTTAAGTTTCACTTTTCTGATAGTTTAGTTGTACATTTTTATTTACAGTTGAGATTTCAACTGGAATCCTCACAGGTTATTCTTGTTGATAGTATAAAGGGTGGCCATATTTGGTCAAAGATGTACAACCTATGAAGCATGGATGCTGTGAATCACATGGACACAGACAATAAAACTGTCCCTGCAAAATTTAAAGTACCTTGTTAGGATATATAACACCACTTTATGTTTGACCTGTGCAGATGCCACCCCTTTTTATTTTTTTAAGTGTACATGCTTTAAAATTGCACCTTATGATCTGGCTAATTATATTGGTTTTCTGAGAGGAATTTGAGGACTAATTTTATGCTTTTATTTTACTAATTTCTGGTTAAAGCCACTTTTCTTTTTTTCATGATGTTGAATGGTACTGTCCCATTTCTCACCCCTTCAGATTTTATCTTACAGATCACGTTACCTTATGATGTCCAACAATTATCTAAAGCTACAAGGTCAACTGCTGCTATTTATCTAGCATGTGGAGTGGATCCTTCAAAGGTTCTTTGCAACTTTTGCTCGGAGCCTTTTTGGGAAATAGTATTTATGGTGGAAATGTCAAGATCACTGTGGATAAATGACATTCATTTTGTGCATACAGGCTTCAGTATTTGTACAGTCTCATGTTCGGGCACATGTAGAATTGATGTGGCTGCTAAGTTCCACGACACCAATTGGTTGGCTGAACAAAATGATACAGTTTAAAGAGAAATCTCGCAAGGCGGTGCGTTCATAGCTGTATGAATTCCTAATTTCATTCTATAAATTTTATTTATTATTTTCGTTGTTTTATGGATCTAATTTGATTTTTTTGTTCTATTTATATTATTTCTTCTTTCCTATCTGTACATTTCCTTCTTGACAGTGGTCTACTTGAAGTAAGATAGTTTTAATTTGATTCTTAAATTAAACAAACTTTGGGAATAGGATTCAAACAGAAGATTTGCTTTGGACTGACTTTGTGTTTTTATATTTTGAATTCTACACTGGTTGTGATAGTGTGACTACTGCTGCATATTTAATTTATTTTAGGAACAATTGGAATATAAACAATATTCACTCTCTTTAGCAAACATGTAGGGACAACAGTTATTCATGAATAAATACAAATATAAATGGGAAAAAAGTTTTTTGAATGGCAAGAACTTGAGTTATTTTTGAGCTTTGATTTTGCTTCAATTCTTTGTATTACCAACTATAAACCTTTAGGTTACTTCTCTATAATGGAAGGAAAAAACTTCTGGTCTGATACTAAGGCCTTGATTTTCAGTAAAGCCTAACATATATGTTCAATGTTATCAAAATTGAGATTTTACGTAAGATCAGGAATGAGGTAAAAGGTTGTAACTAAAAATGTCAAATTATACTTAAGTATAAACAAATATAATGAAAATAACCTCCAAATCACATCATTAAACTAAAATGAAAATTCATAAGCATAACATTTAATACAACTCATAAATCATAATTAGTCACATAAGTTTTTCATAACATAACACAACTAAACACAAGAAAATATAGTCCAAGTCTGCAATTATACAATATTAGAATCTAGAATTCTAGATACTAGTCTAGCAACAATTGCTAATTTTCCAGATAAAAACATGAAGCCAGAGAAGAAAGAGAGGGCGAGGGGCACTTGATGTGAGAAAGAGAATCTTCTCTCTGCTATGATCTCTGCTGAGCCTCCAGCTAAATTGTGAGGGTGAGACTTGAGAGATCAGAAGTTACAGATCAGAGGGTTTTGGTTGGTGTATTTGGGGAAGTAAAGAGGGTCAAAAGAGATGGTAGAGACCTATTTCTGTGTTGGTATGGGTTATGTACCTGATTATGTTTAGAAAAACTGTTTTCCCCCTTTTTGGGTTGAGAAACCCAAACTGCTACCCACTTTCTGGTGGAATTGTGGTAGTTGTTATGAGCTCATGATTCCACACTCCAACTCAATGATTCCACTACAATTCCACCAGAGTATAGCATTTTGGATCGCAAGGCTTAGGAAAATCACAAAATCGTGCAATTTCACGATTTATGCAATTTTGACAACACTGTATATGTTGTTTATGTATGTAACTTCCTGTTGGATTTACTATGTAGCTTGTCTTTTGCAAATGAAGGTTTGCTAGATCAGGTCTATAGTGCTCCTCATGCAGACATATGTTTTTGTTTATTAAAATAATATATTATTTTTGGAATTGGATTTGTAGGGAGATGAAGAAGTTGGGGTTGCCCTTTTGACATATCCTGTTTTGATGGCTTCTGATATACTTCTGTATCAGGTGATTCCTGACTCTCTACCTTGTGGAAATTTTACAATTTACTTTCTATGGAAGTTTAAAAACCTAATAAATTAGCTAATTTTACTTAATATGATGATTGTTGTTTTGCTTGATTAGTATTTGCAACCTCAATTTTTGGAGAAATTTATTTAAAATGCATTGTGATGTTATATTAAATATACCTTGAATAAGAATAATTCTTATAAATTGCAGCATGCTTCTGCAGTCTGATTTTGTTCCTGTAGGTGAAGATCAAAAGCAGCATTTGGAGTTGACCCGTGACTTGGCTGAAAGAGTTAATAATTTATATGGAGGAAGAAAGTGGAAGAAATTAGGCGGGTGAGTAATTGTTTTTAAACAGGACATAAAAATCATCCATAAGATGGGTTGGGAATTATTTAGCTTCTTTTATAGATTTTTTAATGGGCTTGACCATTTTTACTTTGATTGTGTACATTTATGACAGCCGAGGTGGTGTTATATTTAAGGTAAGTTTATATATCATCCCATTAAAAAGAGCTAATGAATAATAATGCAATGGAACTGTATTTTTGTCTAACAGCACTTTCTGGAATATAGGTTCCAGAGCCCCTTATTCCTCCCGCTGGTGCCCGGATAATGTCCCTAACTGATGGCCTGTCCAAGGTTTTCTATTTTTTCCTTTTGTTATTTATTCCTGCTTACATGTACATACATTACACACAGCACTTTTGTATCTAATTCTTTAGTAAATAATATCTGCCAGTTGATTTGCTCTATAAATCATTACCTCTTGAAAATTCAGCTGGTATGTTAGATAGGTCGTTTTAGCATCAAAGAATGCAGAATGTTAGATAATATAAATTATAGAAGTTTGCCTGCAATCAGTGACAATTTTTTAGGAATTCAACTGCAGAACAATATTTACTGCTTTGAACTTATTATTTTTTTTCTTCCATTTATTATGGATTCAATTTGTAGATGTCAAAGTCTGCACCTTCTGATCAATCCAGAATCAATATTCTTGATCCTAAAGATGTAAGTAAAAAGGAATCATTTTTATGTGTAGGCCTTGCTGTGTAGGGATAATGTATGACTGTTTTCTGAACTCTTTGCATGTAATCTATGATTACGACTCTGGGAATTTCATGTGGCTTGTAATTGGTTGATGTTTGAGACAGCAATTGTGATTTGCACGTGAATAAATGTTATGTCTCATCATAAGCATAGTCTTATAGGCAGTAGCATTCAACTATAAAAAATGTTGAATTTAATTTTATGTTGGTATAAACTTCTATCTGATTTTTGTTTCTAAAAGACTATATGATCATGGATGGAAGTTGATGGATATATATTTTGTTGTTGTAAATACTAATCCTGGTTCTGGTGGAGTTTTATTGAGATAATTTTCCAACTGTGGGAAAAAGTTGAAAGAAACTTTTGAGATTAACCAGTACATTGACTTGGGATGCAAAGGTATAGAGGGTAAAAACTAAACAGTTATCTTTCAGGAAGATTTTAAGATGACTTCTAGTTAGCATTTATGTTAGGGAGGAATATATCTGAGGCTATATGCTGGCTGCGAAGATTGGTGGGGTTGTGCTTGGCTCAGATGGTTCTCACTATACAGATCTATTTATTCTTGGTTTCATGTGATACTCTAATAGCTTCATTTCTGTTTCTTTTTGGTATTTACATTTCCTAACTTTTTTTAATCTTTTTAGGATATTACTCTTTCTTTTGATATCTCCCTTGTCAATAATTTTTATTTTTAATTAATATAAAAATGAAAATGTAAATAATCATAGAACAAATTTATTATGTTCTATATGATGTAAATTGCAAAGTTATGAAAGTCGGATTTACATTTTGGTTGTGTTTAATAGTTTTGTAGGGTAGAACAACGGCATACTTGTGTGATAGTTAGCTTATCAAATACTCTTGTTCAATATTTTTCAAACTCTAACAACATGCATTGCATGTGCATCATTTGAAGAAATTTGAATTTCTAGTCTGCATAACTAGATACTGTTACTCCCTTTGTCTTTTTTTTTTTTTTTTTTGTGTCCTTTTATAAGTAAAAAATTATTCATATTTATCTATTCTTTTAAAAGTCCAAAATAACATTAATTACTATCCTTTTCAATCGTGCTTTTGTATTCACCCAATTCTTAAATATTTTATACATTTATCATATACGAGAGAGAATAATGGAGGTAATGTAGAGAAATAAATGATAGAGTAATTAATTAATAAGACAGACATCAAATTGAAGAGATTAAGGGCATAATAGGAAAAAATAATTTTAATATAAACTAGGACACTTGTTGAATTTTTTAATCTGTGTTCCATAACCTTAAAATATAGATAAAAAGAAATGGAGGTAGTAACATGTATTTGGCACACAAGCATAGGTTGGGATTTGGGTAGAATTGAGAGGCTTAGTTTCAAATCTTTTAAATAAAGAGAACAAAGTGTCTATATCATAGAGACCGGAGAGATATATTAGAAATACTGACGGTCTTATTCACAGAAATAAAATAAATTGCAAATTTTTATTTTTTGTTTTTGAAATTTTCATTGAAATAGATTTATGGTATTATTGAGTCTTAGGTTAAAGTTGCTTGTTTGTGGTCATGCTTAGCATATTTGACTACTTGAAAGTACGCTTGGGCACATGATTTCCAGTTTATATGATTATGTGTATTTAATTTGTGAGGATGAGCCTTGGTGCAACAGTAAAGTTGTTGCCTTATATGCCTTCTCCATATCCCTCTAGGTGTGTATATAGTCCCTGATCCTTTGGACAGTTCTTACTCTAATTTGGCATTTTTCTCTCATTTTTATTTGTAAAAAATATATATTGGGAAAAAAATAACCGTATGTCATGATTTTAATGGAAGGAGTACATACTCCTAGGGATGAGAATGTGTTCCACTAGGCTGCACTAAATGTACTTAATTTGCAATGCTTTTGTTGTCACCCATATTGGATGACGTGTTCCTTGCAAGTTGCAACTTTCATGCTAATGTATGACTAAATTTAACTATGAAATAAGATTTCTATTTGTTCTGTAAATGTTAGTTCTCCTTTACTTGCTCTAGCTCAGAGTTTGCTTATTTTATTTTGTAGGTTATAGCAAACAAGATCAAACGTTGCAAAACTGATTCATTCCCAGGGTTAGTACTTGTAATATTACTATTGATGATGATCTTGGTCCTTAGAGGTTTAATCTATAAATGCTTTCTTTTTTCTCTATTTACTTGTTTTCAAGAAATCTTTCTTTTTGGTGTTCTCAAATTATCACGTACACTTTCTGACAAATATTACAGCTTGGAATTTGACAACTCTGAGAGGCCTGAATGCAACAATCTTCTTTCCATATACCAACTTATTTCAGGAAAGACAAAAGAGGTCAGAAATGTTATATATATATATATATATACACACACATATGATTTTTTCCCGTTGTCAATATGTTTTTTGTGGTTCTGATTCTACCTAGTTCAATTAAGTGTTTCTAATACTTTCCATGTCTAATTTTTTACTTGCTTTGTGATGCTTTTTGTGAAACATTATAAAGTGAGTTTTCGGTCTTTAAAAAGTAAAATGAGTTGGCCCAAAAAAACAAATGACATATAGCATCCTATATGTTAATCACTGTGTTTATCTTTGGTCACTGTTAGATAAGCACATTTATTACATCTAAATATGGAAATATCTGTTCCTACAACTTAGGAATTTAGATGATTCTTTTGTATCTATGATTCATTCTGCTATACTCTTACATGATTATAAATAAGAAGCAAACTGTGGACATACAAAGCATAACATTCAATATATCCTTTCTATATGGTATCAAGAGTTTAGGTTTCTTTTGTTTTTCCTACTTCGCTCTGCCTCAGGTGGTTCCCATTAATGGTTGAACAATACCTGCAACCCATTCCAGTTGTGCATATCATTGTGGAGGGCATGGCATTGAGAGTTGTTGGGATTTTCAAATTCAGGTCCAAGGTCTGATAACATGGGGAGCATTAAATGGAGTGACAATACCCGATAAACAAAGGCTGTGTTGATTATAATGGGATGGGAAAGGGTTGTATGGTGGACTAGGTCTCTTAGAGTTTCTTTATCTATTGTATATTCTATAACTTACTAAAAAAAAAGGTCTTAGGACTCGAGGGCTGTCTTGGGGCAGTCTTTGCAAACTGTTTGAAATAAACTAGTGATATTAGGCTATCTGGCTATGGGTATCTGCGAAGTAGTTAACTAGGATGGTCTGTTTTTGCTTCAAGAATATGTGTCTGTTTTTAAATTCATGATCATGAATTAGTCTTTCTCAAATTGTGGCTTTAACATGAGTATCTTTTAAATTTCCTCAGCATAGTTGTAAACGAATTATTTCTAAAAAGTCAGGTGATGAGATATTGAACTTTTGTGTATGCAGACAAATTCCTGTTTAAACTTTGAAGTGTTGCATTTATTTAAAATGATTCCCAATCATGCAGCAATTCCTGACTTTAAAACAATTTGATACCCATTTTTATATGCAGGAGGTTGTGCTGGAATGCCAAAACATGAACTGGGGCACATTCAAACCTCTTTTAACAGACGCCTTGATCGATCATTTGCATCCCATTCAGGTTTCACCTACTAAATGTTACCTTTTGTAAGATTTTATGACGGAGCAATAGTGGTTGTTTACTCTGTACAGATTTACATTTTCCTCCTTGTTTGATGCTGGAATCCATCTTACATCCTAGGCCTCTGATTGGATAATTTACTGATGCATTGACAACTTAGCCCCGTTTACTCTTTTTATTAGTCAGCATTTCTAATCACTAATTTGACATAATGTATGTTAAATAGTTTTTTGAAAAGTTCAATTTTGAAAGAATGATTTTACGTTTGGATTTGATTAGATGAGAATGTTTTGTTTGGATAGTTTGGTATAAAACTAGACACAAATACCATACCATGCTTTGCATGGAAGCAAAACACAACCAATCAAATTTCAATTCCAAAAAAAACACTAGGCGGGGAAATTTCTATAAAATGGTGACATCCAAAACCTGGACAGTTTTAAATTTTAATATAACTGTAGATATAGATCAGAAACAAAGTTATGGTGAAATATTATTTTATAAAAATTGGGGGTATTTTTCTGAAATAGTTCCAAACTTTGGTTTCTTAACTAACTGGAAAGTTGTTTACTACCTAACCACATTTTCTATTAATTGTCAAAGAACTGGTTTTATTAACCTGTTACTTTTTCACTGTAGTTGAATATGGTCTTAAAAGTCAAGTAGAGACTAGGTTCTTGTTGTCAAGAATTAGTCCTCTCAGGTCTTTTGCTTCCCTCTATTATGTAGTCTCACTGTTCCATAATTCCATTGATTAACTGCTTTGCGGACATTTTTTTGTTTGTTTCCCTTATAAAAGTTGGTCCCCTATATTAATTTCTTAGCAAGTATGGGTTCTTTGCGTAATCACTTATTTTCTTTTTACCTAACTTTGGTAGGTTCGCTATGAGGGAATCATGTCCGATTCAGGTTATTTAGATGAAGTTTTGGCACAAGGTGCTAGAAAAGCAGCAGATATAGCAGATACTACACTTCATAATGTTTACCAGGCAATGGGATTTTTGAGGAGACAGTGATAATTGATGCCAAATGAATTAAGATTGGGGATACAGCAACTTAAGAGCTAACTTTTTAATGACCCATGATCAGCCTCAAAATTTTGGAGTAATCTTATGGACATATGCTCGACTACTGGAAATGGAAAGATGATTTGATATAAAACCTAAAGTTTCCTTTATTTCTTGATGCAATAGGCTTTATATCTTTTTCATATTTCTTCATGAATTTGGTTGTAGCCTTAATTTATTTATTTTTTCAATCTCTTCCATTGTTTACTTGTATTTTACAATGAATTCAAATTGATAAATGGTTTCGCCATTGTATTTGATGGTGACAGGACCTAGTCCTCACCAAGTTCTCATGATGACAACACAACCCATTGTTTTAGCTCATTAATTGTATCTTCATTTTACTTACAATCTGGAATAACTAACTTCATCCCCCCGCCCAAAAAAGAGATGAATTAGACAGTCTTGTTTTTTTAATCTTTTTGTTAGTAGTATTCTTTATTAAAGACAATCTTATTCGAGTAACATCTATAAGATTATTATAGTCGACAAAATTCTATCTCTTGAATATTTAACAGTTACATGTTGATCTAAGCTCTTGTTTTTCAATTTATTTAAGATGATAAATATTCTGGATAAAAACATTTATACAAGAAAGCTCTCAGCGCCATTATAAATAAGCATCCATGCCCTTGTGAAGATGGTGGAAGTCGAAGAAACATTTATACACCACAGTGGCATTCTTATCGACATCGAATACTTGCTGCAAGGCGGAATATTAAATCCTCGAATCAGTTATGTATATTTCTCAACCAGGAGATTGTTTGTTTGATTGATATACAGCAAGGAGTCTTTTGACGCACCACAGAATTAGTTCGATGAATAAATGTGAATGTGATGGAGCATCTGAAGAAACCATTGGAGAGAACATAGCGCTGCAAAATGTATGATTGCTTTCGTTCTCTTTTCTTTATGGGCACCAAAAGAATAAATGATGCGTCTCTTATCAGAAACTGTATGCTCACTTCGTGTTGGTAGAGATGAACCGGAAAAAGACATGCCAGGGTCCACCATTGGTTTATTTAAAGTAAGATTCTCGTATGCAAATAAAAATATTGATGTAACGTTTATGCTATTTCAGTTCTTATGTGGGGATGCTTATATTTTTACCTATAAAGATTAGGTCACTTTGGGAAGTACTTTTAGCTAGCATCTTTTTTTTTTGCTAGTTGAAAATTTGTTTAACTTTATTAACTATACTCCTATTTGGTGAAAGTTTTTTTTAGTAGCTTATACTTATAGCGTTATTTTTTTAGCATTTTTTTTTATAATTCTAGTTTTTAGTTCCTAACTTCGATGTTTTATTCTTTTTTGCCTTTAAATTATTTATGAAACTTTCTTATTACCTTTTTTTTTTTTTTTTAACTTAGGTTAGTGACCTCCCCCTCTTCTTACACTATTTTAAATTTTTAACTATTATATTATTTACATTATTTATCATATTATTATTTTAACATTATACTTAAAGATATTCTAACTTACATTAATCAATACAATGAAAGTATGAAATTAATATGTATTTTAATTTATTTTATTCTAAACTTGGTTGATAATATTTGAAAAATATAATATTAGTAGAAAAGACTATATAATCTGAAAAAAATTTAAACTAGAAAATATAACTAAAATAATTGATTTACACATAAAAATTACAAGAGTTTAAAATTAATTAAGAAAACTAAAATTATCATTATCTCAATACATTTTTATCAATAAAATATAAAATATCCATATAATTTTATAAATTATGCTATATTTATCAGTCACTTCATCAAATAATGATTTTATTAAACAAATATTCAAAAACCCAATTTAACAGTTTTCAAAGTACCTACTTTCTACTGTTAACAAACCTTCAACATTCAACTAACTTTCTAGTTTTTAACTAGCTTTTCAACTATTTCTACCAAAACGTACGAGATAACCTGTTATGCTATGCACACACATTAAATAAATTTTGATGTGCAATTAGACTCAGAATTTATAGCTTATTTAAAACTGAAATTGATGGAACAGCATGATTGTATCAGTGCCAATGTGTAATCTTGCGGATTTACGATGATGGATATTTATTGTATCTGAATTATTCACCTTATTTCCCCATCTCACCAGATCTATTCTTTGAATAGAACAGAGCAAGGTGCTCTCCATCTTTAGAGAAAAAACAGCTCATAAAGTTCTATTGTGTGTATTCGTGTCATCTTTAGATTAAACAGATAGATAATGCTTCTACAGAAAATGACACAATGCATGACTGTTCGATCGTGTTCTTTTAAAGAAAACAATTTGGTGTAAAAATATGTTTTTAAAACTAACAATAATTAGACAAATTTTCGTTCAAGAAAAACAAAAACTTAAAAGTAAGTGATTTTAATAATTTAAAAAATAAAGAATAAAATGTTCTTAAAAATGTCATTAAAGTTGTTTTTTTTTGTTTTTCAAAAATAATCCAAAGGTGTGGTAAAAAGATTGGATATATTATACAAAGAGTTAATCACCTATATACTGACAACCAATTAGATCTTTTAATTGTGCTATGTCACTGTTAAAAATAAATATGTTTATAGTGACATGACACAATTAAAAAATTAATTAGTTATCAGTATAAATTTATTTTACATTAACAGTATATAGATAATTAACTCTTATACAAATACAAATTGCCGTTCTTGCAATATAATTCTTCCCTGCAAATAAATTTGGAATCATGCTAGAGGAGGATTTCATATGACAGATTATTTGAAATGGAAAGTAAATACATAAATCAACAAGATTGGGGACGGGTGTCGCTGTTTGGATTTTTTAAATAAAAATAAAAATAATATAAAGATAAAAATGATAATAATATGAATCAAATATAAAAATAAAACTAATATGCAATTTCTATTTAATTTAAATACAATACCAAAATCGAATCAAATAAATTTACATATAGCAATCAATTTGATTTGTTTTGGTGGGTCTTTTATTTATTTTTTCATAAATTACATGATTTTAAAATGATTTTTAATTTAATAATCAATAAAATAAAGCAACATTTATTAATAATTTGAGTTAGGATTAGTTCTTAAAAATGATAATTTGCATAATTAAAAGTAAGGATGAAAATATTGTAACCACAGATATTTGCGAATTAATGTTGCAACATAAATAATTAAATGAGTATATATATATATATTAATTTATATTTATATATAAAGAGAATTATCTATTTTTTTGTGTATATTTTATTTGAGACAATTTTAATCTTTTAAATAAAAATAAAAAATTGTTAAATGGAAGTTTTAAAAAGTTACATCAGTTTTGTAGTTTATAATAACGGTACATTATTCTATTGATATGAATAATTAAATGGAGGCATGAAATGTTTTTTCACTCACTAGTTACAATAACAATAATATGGCTAAAATTTATGACTATGTATGTATTAATTCAAACATGAAATTAAAGTATATAATAAACAATTCTTCCTTCAATACTTATTAAATATTCGTTATAATAAGTTACTTAAATGTCTTTATAGTATTATCTGAATACACGTAAAATTTTGTTTATTAATATTTTTTATCCATCAAAATTACAATAACAATATCAAAATTTAAATTTAAAATCTTATACATATTGTTCCAACCTCTCACCGGTTGATCGATCCAAATGAGTCACTTTTGTTTAGACCTATGAAATAAAATTATTGTGTGTATGTTTATTGAATTTTATTTAGACTTATGAAATTAAAATATTTTCTAACTTAAAGTATCTTGATTAGTATAGTTATGTAAAATACTGAATAATTTTACTCTATACTTCTAAACATTTTTTTTACTCGTCAGACTTTGAATTGTTCTCATGTCTAATGGAAAATACAAAATATTAATGAACAAAAAAAATTATTTTTTAAATGTCAAAATAAATAAAAACTATTGTTAAAGTGGTCTAAAGATGCTTTTATTAAATATTTACGGCTATCCACAAGTACTTTTAATATGGATACTTATTTAAAGAGTACTCAGACAAGCACAAGATAAACGTGAAACAAATATTGTCGGTCTCGTGAATGTATAGAAAATGTGTTTGAGAACAATGAGAAGGGAAACTCTCTAAAAATAGATAGTTTGATTATCGATAAAATTATTGGTTAAAAAAAATACGAAATCACATATTATCATTATTGAAAGATCAAAATACTACTATATAGTTGAACAAATCAATACAAGTATAATTTGATAGATTGACAAAGTTGTTAATTTGTATGAAAACAATATATATAAATCTTTTAGACTAATGATATTTACAGTACCGCGCGAGTGATAACCGTGATTGGAAAAATAATCACTCCAAAGATTGAATTGAAAAAAAAGAAGAAAAACCTCCTAAGCTTGAGTGCGTGGGTCAACTACTCTACATTAAATTCTGTTAAATAATTTTGAATTAAAATAATTTTTATTCTTAAAATCACAATTTTTGTTTATAAAAAAATAAGTAAATATTGTATACATTGGTTGTGTTAAGAATTTTTACAGAATCACCGATTACAAACCATCATATGTGATAAATTTGTTGATATGTGATTTCTTGAAAACCAAAGTTAAACTCATAAATATTTGTCATTTTTTTTTATATCACAGTGCCCTGTGAAACTTGATGAAATGACTCAAATTCATAAATTAGGAATTTGAGATATAAAAGAATTTTTAATATATGAAAAATTATGTTAGATTTGCAGGCAAAACTGGAAATGCCATCGTACGTTCGACATGTGAGATAACAAAAAGAAACATAAAACAGTGGGCGCCATCTTCATCCTTTCTTTTATATATTCTTATCAAATGAAAGTGAAGAAGTAAAATATCTCATTTTATATTCTGTACTTAGATTCCACCCTCCCCCCGATTTTTACGACCATATGAAATTGTTGAGATACATGATTTTCATACCAATACAACTGAGGGTGTTAATAAACAGATTGTTAGTTTCGGTAATATGTTTTGTTGGGATTCATCCCAAGTTCCACATCTGTAAAATGAAGGAATATTGACTAGTTTATAAGGGTGTCCACCATTCCATATAGTATGAGGCCTTTTGGGAAGGAGTCCAAAAACAAAATCGCGGTTCGGTTGTGGTGTTCAAGCGGCCTTTATAAGGGTGTGGGCCTAGCCCAAAGCGGACAATATCATACTATGGTGGAGGAACAGGTGGACTATCGGGTCCTACATGTTTTTATTTTTTCTTTGGTATGATAACACGGTTAATTTTATAAATGACTTAAAAGAAGGAAAAAAATTGGATAATAAAGGAAAATGAAAAAATGAAAAATGAGGAACTCTCCCTCTCAATTTATCTCATCACATATTTATCTAAGCATATAGATGAAGTCAATCCAACTCAACTCATTAACTTATTAAAATTTGGATTGGAGTAAAAATCTTAACTCATTTATCACTAAATTTTTTATAAATTATATCTATTTATCTGTCTTAATTTTTTTCTTCAAATTTTATAATTAAATATAATTAAAAAAGAGAAAAAAAAAATATTTTAAATCTAGTAATGAATTAAATGTTTGATGAAACATGTACTTAATATAGTCTAACAACAATATTAAAATAAGTACACAATATAATTACAAATAAGTTTTAATAGGCAAATGAATTACAAATAAAATAAATTAAGTAATGTTAATAAGTAAAAATCAAGAGGAAAATGGATCAACCCAATGACTAACCCAATAGATCAACCAAACCAACTCATCATTAAATCGTTGAATTGGTAGGTTATAGGAGTTGAAAAGTACAACTCAACCTAATATGTTGGGATGGATTATGCGAATTAACTCATTGAGTTGAATCTATTTCATATATATATATATATATATATAAAAGTAGTTGTTGATTATCTAATTGTCAATAGTTCAAGTGGTTAATTGTCAATAGTTCAAGTGGTTGATGATTGTATTCTTTAATTAAGGATTATGACTTGATTTTTGACTTGAGTATCAAGTTGAGATCAGAAATACTACTTTATTTTTATAGGAACTAATTAATCAAGTGAGAAAGAATTATACATCTTCTTTAGACCAAAAATCACTGTAAACCATAAAAATAATATTAAAAAGAACTCAAGCAATTATGGGCTTGGTCAATCTGTTAATTAAACATACTTAAATTTATTAAGTATATGTCAACATAAGATTGAATTAGTCATTTTACATTACAGTACACCAGAATTGAAATATGACATTTCTTTGTATAATTAACAAATTTGGGTTTAAATTTCAATAGAATTTTGAGTGCTCAAAATATTGAGCTAATGCTAATAATATTACTAAAATTATCCTTTGTTAATAGATAGTTAAATGTATTAAGATCTAAAAAAAATATAAAAGTATTAACCATTATCGACTTTATTAGTAGAGTTATTGTTAGTATACATAAATAGTATGCTGTATTATAATTTATATTAACATTTAATGTATTGATAATATGATAAATTTATACATATATACCAACACAACTAATCTGTTAGCATAATTTATGTTACTTGACAGTTTAGTTTTTGTTATTTTTTGGCAGAAATTTAACTTTTATTAGTTTTTTTTTACAATCAATTTTTGTTAAAGACTACAACAAAAGAAAATTATTAATCCAACAGTATGGAGTATTTTGTACTATAATTACACTTATTTTTCTTACGGGTCGTAATTAATTTATCCCACATATTATAAACACAATTTGGCTAGGTACTTAGACTTTTGTAGCATGGGTCTGGTATATTTAAGACATAGAGAGTATTTTACTGTGTGTTTATAGAGAGGAAATAAATAGGTAAGAAATAGAGAAGAGAGAAATAGGTAAGTGAAAATAGGTAAAAAATAAATAGAGTGCAAATTTGATTGTTTGGTTGAAAGAGAAATAGATAAAAAAATATAGATGAGAAATAATATTATGTATGTTAAGTAAGATATAAAAAAAATAGGTGAAAAATAAAGTATATAAAAAGATAAGAGAAAAATAAATAAGTAAGAGTAAAAAATAAATAAATAAGTTTAAAATTAATTTTTTATTAATTAATTTTTTAATCATTTAAATAAAAAGTTATATAACTAAATAAATCTATTTTGAAATAAAATAAATAAATAACTAAAAGTAAGTAAATAATTGTACAACAATTTTTTGGATTAAAAATTAATTAAAATAATAAAATTTAATTAAGTAAATAAAATAAAAATTTTAAAAAAATAAATAAATAAAATTCTAAACTTTCGTTCAATTCTGCTCGAATGAAAATTATCTTTTCTTTAACAAATTTGAATAATTTTTTTATTTATTCAAATAAATAAAATCTTTTTTTTCGTTTTGAGAGAAAACATATTCAAATGAAAGTTACGTTTTCTTTAACGTGATTGAATAAATTTTTTTATTTATTTAAATAAATAAATAATTCATATTTCAAAAGAAAATATATCTAAATAAAAACTTTTCTCGTAATAAAAGTGTTATTCAAATATGAATATGATTTATTCAAACTAGAGGGATCGATACATTTTGTACTGTTAAATGTAAATAAAAAAATTATAAGTAATTATTTAAATAGAATGTAAAAAAATTATATTTAAAAAGTATAATGGTCCATTAAAATATAGAAACTAAAAGTGGTCACAATATTATTCAGTATTCCATCTATGTGTTTTGGAAAGAAATAAAAAATGTGCGACAAATCTTTTTTCTTTATTGAAAAATCTCTTTAATATCAAATGATTTTCTTTTTCTTTGCCATTTCTTCACTTTTTAGCCTCTTTCTTCGCTATTTCGTATTAACCAAAGTTAGACAAATTAATTTATATAAAGTGTAAACTGTTGGATGATGATAGGTTGATAGAGTATTATTCCTTGTAATTGCATGTTGCCATCTTGTACTTTGGAGCAGTCAATTTATAAGAGCACAGAAATGAATAAGTAGTTGCTTTCAAAGAGATGAAAGGATGAATGAGAATGATTAGTGAATAACATTCTCTGATTTTTTTGGATTCTTCCCAATGATCAGATATTAGATGTAGTGTACTTGATACTATTACTATCCCATTCCCAATGCTATAAATATTACTTGCCACATCCTCCTAGTTATCCGTCACAACAACTGATATTCAACAAAACATACACTTCTTTACTTCTTTCATTTGATTTTGTGTCCAAACTTTCAAGAAAAAGGAGACATGGACAAGACTAGGTTCAAACAACAGGCACTCTTCATGCGAACTTCACTCTTTGATGAGGTCTTCTATTTCCACTTCTTTTTCTCCTTTCAATTTATTCTTTCTCTTTCTCTTTCTCCTTTTAAATTTGGTAAAGCCAGCAGCTATTTTTTTATTGATTAACTAAACAGAAAAATGGTGTAAAAATAAAACTATACAGAAAAAATAAGTGTAACTTCTGTTCAATAATTTGTTGATAATAATTCGATGATCTTTTTGTTAATAACACTAAATTTAGCCACTTCTTAAATTCTTTCTCTTAAGAAGATAGGAAAAGTTAATACTAGACAGAATAAATAATCACTCTTTTATTAATTTTTGCATATCTCTCATAATTTATAAATTAAAATAAATATATTGAACAAGTGTTTTTAATTTAGTTTTTTTTATAGCGATAATGGTTTCAAGAATTTCTTTTAACTCTTTCTTTCTTTCTTTTAATTTACCGTTCTCATTTTTATTTTTAAATTAAATTTTAGAATTTAAAAATATAATTGTTAAAATTTAAAAATAATCATGTGTTAAGTAATAAATGAACTTTATATTATCCATCAATAAGAAATTGTTATATATAATAAATTTTATAAAATTTATAATAATCACTTAAAAAGATTTTTCTAACGTAATTTTTTATTCACTACTTATGTAAAATAGTTTACATTAACTGTACTTAAATTAATATTACATGCAAACTTAAGTACTGCAAAAATACATTTTTTTTCAAACGAACCGAATGTCGCGTACTGAAAATAGACATGAAAAGGTTTATACAAACCGTACAATAACAGCTTGTATATTTTTTATGCCCTTTGCTTTTAAAAGAGATTTTTTTTTTCCATAAAAAGATATCACTCGTTTTTATTAGGCCAGTTTGTAAGAATAAAATAGAATCTTCAATTTCAACTCTATATTTAAGATAAAAATTAAATTTCAATTTTTTAAATAAAGAACAAAAGTGTCGAATTATTTAAATTAATGATTATTTATTTTCAAAGAGAATTTACCTTTATTAATGGTAATTGTTGTAGGGGTTTCTTGACGAGCAATTCGTTCAGTTAGAGGAATTGCAAGATGATGTTAATCCCAATTTTGTGGAAGAAATTGTGACCCTTTTCTACACTGACTCTGTTAGACTCATCTACAACATAGAACGAGCACTGTAAGTGGAAATCACTAGCAATTATATTACTTTTCTCTTACACATGTTCTCCTACAGACTCTAATGTGTTGCACAGGATGAGTAATCCTCCCAATTTCACCAAGCTAGATGATTACATGCATCAATTCAAGGGTAGTTGCTCAAGGTAAATACCCATGATTAATGATAAATTAATAAATTAATTATGTGAACTATATATATTAATGAAAAAAAATTAAGAATATGTATAATTCTTGTTTTTCCTAAATGAGATTTTCTTAATTAACATAGTGTTTCACTTATTGTTATCACTATTAATTTTTTTTATTAATGGCAATGCGAAAGTTAAGTCACTTACTCAAATGTTTTTAATTTATTGACAGCATCGGAGCAAAGAAGGTGAAAATCGAGTGCACCAAATTCAGTGAATATTGTGCAGCAGAAAACTTTGAGGGGTAACTCATATTTTTACCTCCTGGCTTGAGTTAATTTTATTTACATACTATTGTTTTACATTATTATTGTATTTTTTTAATAATAAAATACACTTATTTGTTTATTGAAATAAAATATAAATATTATATAAAGATATTAACAAATTTGCTCAAACTTCTCTCATAGTTTTGGATTTAACTAATGTAGTAAGATTACCCTTTTCAGATGCTTCAGGACTTTCCAACAAATCAATCTAGAGTATACGACTTTGAAGAAGAAGCTTGAGACCTACTTTCAGGTATCACATGTTTAGTGTCATTTTCTGCTTACAATTGATGATGCTATTGCTATACATGCCTTTCTGTCATGTGTACAACTTATTGTCATATACAAAGCCATTATTCTAGTTATCATTATTATGGTTCGTTTATTTTTGATATCATTTGATGGAATCAATGAACTGATATTATGTTTATTTCCAAGTTTTTAATTATTTGCCCTGTTTCTGTGTCTTAATGTTATTCAGTTAATAAAGGGAAGCTACTGATGAAATGAAAGGATATTCATAATGGGTGCTGATATCCTTTTTGAGGTCGTTCCACCAGACTTAAATATTGGATCATTCAAGCAGAACTATGTGTTATATATATAATGTCAGTAACAAAATAATGAATGATATTTAGACATCATTTTTCTACACCATTATTGCACAATTTTCTTTGAATAAAAAAATACGCATTACATTAAAAAAAAGAGTCATGTTTCAATAGACAAAAATGGTAATTATTAGACTTGTTCTTGTTAATATTATATTTTTATAATACAAATTATTTGTTATTATAAATATTTTAAATTTATATATTAATAATATATATAATGCATTGATTTCTTTTTGTTGAAGAGAAACGACGACAATACAAACTATGCATAAAATTTTTATTCCAATAAAACTATTCATTAATAAAGTATATATATTTTTTCTGTTAATATATAAAATATATGTCTATATCCTTATAATATTATCATATTTGGCATATAATACAATATTTATATTAACATTATATTTTGTATGACGAAAATTATATTAACGGCGGAACAAGTCTAAGTACTATCATATTTTGCCTGTTAAGTAAGACATGGAATTAATTTTTTTAAAATATTTTTTATGGTGTTCTAATGCAACTTTTATCTTAAACAAAGTGTAATGGTGTAATTTATTTTGATGTCCGAATGTCATTTCTCACAATAGAAATTAGAATATGTAAGAGAGTCTAGTCCCTCGTGCTCGTGTCTGTATATGGCTTAGCCGCGCAACTATTGTCTGTTGGTATAACTGGCAAATGTTTATCAGCTTTTTTAATCTATTAGTGTTGATTAAAATAATTGCATCTATTTTTAATTAGGTTTGCTATTGTAACAATGTGGTGATCACATTGAAATATAAACTTTGTATCATGACTTATCAATCTATGAAAATAAACATTTTGTCTTAAAACATTTAGTAATTTTTATTTATCAGAAATTCTCTCAACTATAATTACCAATTAATTTGGTATCTGTTGCTAGTTCTTGATCCAAACCTATGGTCTCAGACTCCAATAACTTCTCCATGAGCACTCACACTCGAGGTTAATTTCTTCAGTCTTTGTCTTCCTTCTGTACCACTAGCTAAGACCATGCAAAGTTGGTATTCGGATTCTCGTGTTTCACATCATGCATGTAAGCTAGATGATGTTCTCAACATTCAAGATCCACATACATATGAATACCTTTGTAGATCATCTCTTAATTAACTGAAACCAGCCAAGGCCCAAGGTATGCTAATCAATGCCACTTATCTTTTCATCCATTAATCCTTTTACTAATTAATCTCATCCTCCATAATCTTCCATTTCTTCAAGTTCCATACATACATATCTTGAGCAAACCCATTCTGAAAGCCTTATTTACATATTACTATCCTTCTCATTAAATTAGAATCAACTTTTATTAATCCAGCTTTGGCAATCCCTTGTGACATTCTGCTATAAATGCAATCTGAATATGAGGTTCTAATAAAAAAAATAAAAATGAATCCATGCTTCAATAAATACAAAAATTGTCTTGGCTAAAGTGTTTCACCATCAACCCGGTTTTGACTATATAGAGCTTTAGCTCCATGATCAAATTAGTTACAGCTCGTACCATTCTGACTTTGGATCTTTCACAAGGCTACTCAGCTTTGGATTTGTCGTAGCAAATGTGATGCCATTTTTAAATATATATCATCTTCTATTAATATATATA